TTACTGACGAACTTTTTTCTGCAAGCGATCGATGTGGCATTGCACCTTGTGGACGTTGGGGTGACGAAGACAGGACGGTAAAATGGCGCCGTCAGCTTTTGACGTTTATAAGACCAACAAAAAAAATCACTGACCCGTCCATGGCACCACTCTGTAGACTGGCAAGTACGTCAGGAAAATTGTGAAATCGTCGTCCGGACACAGGAGAAATGCCGAGCACGATATCGGACATGCTCTCCACGTGTTAGGTCGATCGGCAGCACTAATCTTACTCAAGTGAAAGAGAAAAGGTCGTCACTTTTGGTGCTGAATCAAAGCCATCATCCAGTGCACCAATGTGTGGACATCTCTTTTTGAAGCAATTAATTTTTGAAGCAACATGACTTCACAACCACATTGCGTCTTTTTTTTTGGCGGAAGGACTGACCGGATGGACAGTAAGATTCATTCGTACAGTATCTTATTGCATACTTGGATTTGGACACTAACATACGTACAAGATGCTTATGGCGCAAGCGGCAGCTCCTCTGCACTTGTCATCAGCCAGTGCTAGATTTGCAGCGGTTGGGGAGTGCGTAGCAACGTCTCCGACTCCGACGACGGATAGGAATGGGATACCAGGACAGGAACAGGACGCACTTGTCACCAGCGCAGGCAGAGACACGTCCGCGTCGCCGCCCGGCTGCCGGTGCCGTGGGGCAGGCGCGTGAGATGAGCTCGGCACCGAACCACTAGCGGCGTTTTGCAGTGGATTTTCAGCGAGCACTTCGTTCTCGCTCGGTCACGGTCACGGTCACGGCCTCACGGGCCATTGGCCGGCCGATGAGCGGTCAACCGGTTGGTTGCACAGCGACATCCCACTGAGATGAGGTGCGGGGTGCTCTGCAAGAGTGCGAATGAGGTGATGAAAAGGATTGGGCCAGCACTTGTTCCCGTCGATCGGTTGGCGTTCCGTGCTTGCAAACCGAAATGGAGTGTTGAGAGTTAGTGACTAGCCAAGGGATGAAGGCTATCACGGATACCAGATCATGTTGCGTTTCTCCACGGGAAATGATATGTCATGGGTTAGCAACTCCATCGTTCATCGGTTGAGGTTCCCGTCTCGCCTCTCGGTGGATTGTGCTTGTTTCCACCTCGTGAGTTGTGACACAAACTCTTCTGAGACCCTGAGTAGTTTGGGCGTGTTTGGGACCACGTATTCAGCGGCGACAGCGAAAACAATCAAACAATTGCGCCAAACGCCCTGCGGCCATGATAATTCTTTTGACCGCACACGGCACGGCAACTGCAAAAATGAACTAACTCCCGCGTTTCTTTTGACCGCACACGGCATGGGATATGTTTGTGCAATTAGCCCTATGTAGATTATTTTCTCTGATTGTGCATAATGTTATGCAACTATTATGAACTGTTAATTGTTATGGATGCAATTTCTTGCTGCTCACAGTTGGCTGTCATATTAATTGTGCTGCATTTTGTGTTTGCACTTTAATTGCATAGGTAACCCGTCAGACTCTGCCTCTGCCTCAGTAACAAATGCACTATCATCACACCAAGAATGCACTATCATCACAAGCTGCTATCAACTCAGATGGCCCTGCATGGGCTCATTGTTTTTGCCCAAACATAACCAAGAAGCATTGGCTATGTGCAAGTATTGTGACAAGCTCTGCACCTCTGGGGTTACAAGAATAAAGTACCATATCTTGCTGGCATTAAAGGGTTCAATGTGACATAGTGCAGGAAAGTTCCACCTACAGTGAAAAAAGAGATGTTTGCTTTGCTTACAAAGAAGGCCGGTGAAAGGGAACAGAAAGCCAAGGAAAAGGAAAGGGAGAAAGGGGATAAATTGACCTAGATCACTCGATGGTGAAAGTGGTAGTAAAGAATTTTCTGATTATGGGAGTGAGGTTCTTGTAGTGGAGCCAAAGCCAAAGCCAATCAAAGGATCTAGTCGCTCTAGATCTACTACAGGTGGTGGCCCTATTGAGAAGTTCTAGTGAACAATTTGGCAGATGTTTGAGAGGGCTCGGCCCCTATGAGATGAGTGGACCATTCTTGCAGAAAAGGAAGCAAATAAACAAGTAACATGTTAGTGGTAATAATAATGTTGGATGACTACCATGCGTAGCAGGGGCGGGCCCCATGCAGTTCATGGCCATTCACTTGAATGCCCAAAATTTTTAGGAAAAAACTACAATAATATAGTATGTATGCTACGTGTGTGTGTGTGTGTGTGTGTGTGTGTGTGTGTGTGTGTGTGTGTGTGTGTGTGTGTGTGTGTGTGTGTGTGTATATATATATATATATAACATGGAATCAAACTGCATATAATAACCATGAATCATGGCCTAAAGTAATAACTTGCCTAGTTCAACACTCTAATATCTCGCGGCCCAAACATCCATCCTCATCAACACTCAATTACCACATACATAGTTCAACATTAAATAAAATTCCAACCAACTACTTCTATTAGGTTCTCCGTCATATTCTTCTATGATCTCTCTTCCTTTCTCATGTTTTGTGGACCATCTAGACCAACACAAAACAACAACAATAAACATGGTTTGGAGCACATGAGGTGATGGTAGCTTCAGCCAAAGGGAAGGAGAAGTAGCTCATAACCAAGTAATGAATGACTCGTGAAGTAAGACGTGAGACATAGTATTGTATTTTGGAGGAGTGAGAGTCCGACGATATTGTTTGCAAATCTCATCTAAATATAGCGATATGGAGCCAATTTTCATAAATTTTATTAGATTTAGTGTTTGAATACTCATTGTGTAAACCCGGGGTCCCCCATTTACGTGTAGGTGTTAAGCAATGTTTATTTGTTAGCAGTACATAGTATATAGGAAGTGTTTGGTGACGCTTACAAGCGTACAAGAAAGAGTTCCAGCTCCTATTGTATGTTTGCTTTATCATTCAACTAGATGGGTGCCTAAGTGCTGCTATGGGAAAAAATATTAGCAATAAAACAAAAATATTATCCATAAAATAGAAATCTATTAGCAACCGCATACAACAATGATCCAACTCAGGCGTCCGTCCGTGACTCTCATCCGGATCGGCTCCCTAGGAGCAGGCCCCAAACAAAAACAATCCCCACTCCCTCATGCTTATCTCGCCCGCTCCACCCCACTCCTTCGTGCTTATCCACCAGCCCCGGCTAAACGTGGGCTGCTCGTTGTCCGCGCCCTTCCTCATCACACGACTCGTTGGGTCGCCACGCCAGCGCCCCCACCGCCACAGACCCTAACGCCGGCGCCGCATCGCGCCTATCCTAGACACTTGTGTCACTCGCTCCCTCATCGGATGTCCGTCCATCTCCCATTGCCATCATGCACGCCACTGACCCTACTATGGCCGATGGGGCGCATGTGCCGTGGTGCCTCAGGTCTTCCTTGGCCGAGCCAAGGGCACCCACGAGCACGAGGGGTGCTAGTCGTGCTCGTGCGCCACCGCTCGCCGCCGGCTCTGACCCCAACAGCTGGAATAGACTGGCCCAGGCTTCCCCTCCCCTATGTTACAAATGTATGTTTCATGTGTTTCAGTCATTTAAAAGGTATGTTGCAGTTGTTTCTTATGGATGTTGCAAAAAAGTAGATCGAGGGATGTTGCACATGTTGCATATGTTGCAAGTGTTTCAGAAGCATGTTGCAAGCGTTTGTTCAAAATGTTTCATCTGTTTTCAGACATATGTTGCAATCGGTTTTTATCTGGATGTTGCATATATTTTCACACACGTGTTGCAACAGTATGTTCCAAATGTTTCAATTGTTTTATTCTTATGTTGCAGTAAGTGCTTTATCATGTTGCAAGTTTTTTATCTGGATGTTGCATATGTTTCACACGCATGTTGCAAGCGTATGTCACAAATGTTTCATCTGTTTAAATGTATGTTGCATTCGAGTATTTCATGTTGCAAGTGCAAACCGCCGGTGTTCGTGTTCATGAGGGGCGGGCAGGGCCAAGCCGCGGCCACCAATGCGTGGAGGAGGCGTAGGCCGCCGCCGGCGGTGTAGGGAGGAGGCATAGGGTGCGCGGTGCTGTTGTGGAAGAGGTGGGGGCGAGTCTTCCGGGCGGCCTAGAAGAGATGAGGCGCCGCGTTGGTGTGGAAGAGGCGGGGGATGAGTCATCCGAGCAGCGTGGGCAGCGTATCTGAAGCGGGCGGTTAGGATGCAAGCGCGGGAAACGAAGTTGGCGCGGGCGACGCGTGAATCCGAGCGGACGGGGTGGAGCAGCCACGGGCGTCCAGACGTCCGGGCGCTAGTGCTGCCGAATCGCATATCATACATGGTAAAACACACATTGTAGGTCTTTGCTTCATGTGTCTTGTTGATTTAAGACAAATTCAATACATCTTGTATACATAAAATTGATTCATAAACATAACCGGATACAGTAACTCAGTATCTATCGGTTTCCATACAGAAACAGACCAGAGTAATAACGTGCAAAAAAAGGATAGCAGATACATGTGCAGGAATTCGTAATTATCCTATATGGCCAGGGTCTAAAATAATTAAAAGATTAAGGAGGGGAGGAGCTGTTTTATATGGTGAAAAGGTTATTTATATACACAAAAGTATAGGGGGTTATCTAACAAAAAACCTAAGCAGATGCAAGGCGAGGGGACTCGTGGGGGAGGGTGGAGGCAAATTACATCTCAGTCTTTTTAGTAGCAGAGATAGAGATCTGCGTGACTAGTGTATGTTTATATCTTTCCGATGTCCGTCCATGGCACGAGACCCCATCTCATGCATTCTTAATTATTTCACCGCAAATTAAAGTGCAATCCAAAATACTAGTATTGCAATCCAAATACAATAAGGATACTAGGTACATAAATTAAAAATTATACAGATAAGGAAACAGAGCCTAGAAAAGGCTCGGCAAAAGCAAATATAGATATACTGCCCGCAGCTGGAAATCCATCCAAACTATGTACATCACTCTGAGATAGACTGACCACTCTGGCAGCGAGCATATCATGGTCACACCGAAACTTCAAGTGGCTGACGACGCCCAATGCTTCCGGGTTCCTTGAGCTGAGGAGGCACGTCCCCAGCCGGCAGATGGCTCGAGCTCCTTGGTCCTCGCGTCCTGCCGAAGCACGACGTAAGCGCGTGCACGAAGACGAAGGCCAGCGCGGCGACGATCATGGCGACGATGTACCCGGACGTCTCCCACCCCCTGCTCGAGCCGGCGGCGTGCGCGCCGAGGAGGCCGAAGAGATTGAGCACGATGGTCACGTTGGTCACCGTGAGCCACCAACCGATGTCCATCAGCTGCCGGGGCAGCAGCAGGACGACGACGACGACGGACGCCACGAAGGAGGTGGAGTTGCAGTGGAAGAAGAAGAGGTACCGGAGCCTCCGGTTGGTGCGGAGTACCGGGTCGCCGGCAGCGTGCCCGTCGCCGTCGCTCTGCCACACGCCGCCCGGCGGGTCGAGCCCCGCCTGGTAGGTCACGCTCGCCATCAGGATGCCCAGCAGCATCAGGTATTTGCACTTGGCGTGTCTCTCCTTCGCCCTAACTTCGTCGACCTCTGCTCCTCCAGCCCTGGGCGCCACCGGCTCTGCGATGTCGCCGGCCACCGGGTTCCCTCCTCCGGTGCCCCCACCGCCCGCTTCAACGGCGGCCGACTCGTCAGCGACGTTGCTGGTGGTCTTCCCCTTGTTCTTCCCTTTCTTCCTTCCTGCTACTACGAAAAGCACGGCCATGAGCAGGATCACCAGAAACGCCAACACGAATATATATATCGACGTCTTGAGATGCTGCGTGCTCCCGGCGGCGTAGGCGCCGACGAGACCCAGCAGGCCGACCGCCGTGCAGACGGAGAGCGCGTAGCTCCGTATCGCCGGCCGGTACAGGTTCGGGTTCACAAGCAGTATGATGTGGGCGATGGCCGACATGAAGCTCAGCGAGTTGCTGTAGAAGAAGGCCTTGTAGCGGCGCGGGTAGTTGGAGAGGAGCACCGGCTCGCCGGCACGGTGGCCCTGGTCGTCGTCCTTGGGCCAGAAGCCGCTCGGCGGGGTCAGCCCGGCCTGGTAGGTGATGGTGGCGGCCAGGATGGCGAAGAGGAGCAGCCGCTTGCGCCGCTTCTCGACCGAGATGTCGTCGTCCTGCTGCCGCCCGGCGATCCTCTCCCCGTGGTCGAGGGTGAAGAAGATGACGTGGATCACCACGTAGACCATGACGCCGCCGGCCAGGGCCACGACGTAGATAGAGGTGCTCACGTCCCGGCAGCTCCCAGCAGCGTACGCGCCCATGAGGCCGAAGAGGTCGAGGATCATGGCGGCCTCCAGCGTGTGGCGCTTGATGAGCGCGGACCTCCGCTGGACCAGGACGATGGCGGCCAGGGACGCCATGAAAGCGGTCGAGTTGCAGTAGTAGAATGTCTTGTACCGCCTAGGGTGCGTCGTTAGGAGTATCGGGTCGCCGGCCAGGTGGCCGTCGCCGTCGTCCTGCCAGACGTCGCCGGGTGGGACCAGTCCTGCTTGGTAGGTCACGCTGGTTGCGAGAGTGGCGAGCAGTAGAACGAGAGAGCGAGCCTTGTCCATCGATTCATTGATAACTTCCTCCCTGATAATTTCAAGCAAAGAAACAGAATTGAAATGCTGCTTGATTAACATGAATGAAATAGTAATTAAGAGTGGATTCCAAAGCTTGGCTGTCGTACCTATCAATTTCAGCTTCGGGAGCTTGTCGCCTGAAACAGGTACTTGCTGCTATTGCTCGCAACCACCCTGATGCTGCAGCATAGACGCTTACTAGCCATTGCCACAAGTTGGACTTCCGTGTGGCTTCCACGACTTTTACAGCAAAATAGACCTGGAACAACATGTATCCCAGAATAACGGCGACCAGGACGACGACGTAGGCGGTGGTCTCGGCGTCCCGGCAGCTCCCCGCGGCGTACGCGGCGACGAGGCCGGCCAGCGCGACGACGATGCACCCGTAGAGCTCGTGGGAGCGCAGGCCGGCGTTGGCGCGCAGCTTCTTGTCCAGGAGCAGCAGGATGATGAGCAGGGACGCGACGAACGCCGTGGTGTTGCAGAGGAAGAAGGTGACCAGGCGGGCGCGGTTGTAGTCCTGCAGGACAGCGTCGCCGGCGGCGTGGCCCGCCTGGGAGCCGTCCCAGAAGCCGCCGGGCGTGCTCAGCCCGGACACGTACGTGACGCTGACCGCGAACGTCGCGAGCAGCATCAGGACCTTGCGCGGCCGCTCGCCGAGCACCTCGCGGTCGGCGTCGGCGTCGCCGCTGACGGCGGCGATCTGCTGGTCACCCCTGTGCCGCGCCGACGACGACAGCGCCACCTGGACCATGAGGTAGGCGAAAACCCCAACCACCAGCAGCGTGCTGTACGTGGTGGTGACCGCGTCCCGGCAGGTGGCGGCGGCGTAGGCGCCCAGGATGCTGAGCAGGTCCAGCGCCATGACCACCCGCAGGGGCACGAGGGTGTGCCGCCACGTCCAGATGCTCGCGCCGCTCATGTCCTCGTGCTGGACGGACAGGAGGAGGATGAGGATGATGACCACCAGCGACGAGGCGAACCCGGTGGCGTTGCAGTAGAAGAACACCAGGTACCGGCGGTAGTGCGTGTCCCGGATAATGGGGTCTCCGGCGAGGTGGCCGGCATCGGTGTCTTGCCACACTCCGCCCGGCGGGCTGAACGCCGAGGAGTAAGTCAGCGTGGCCACCACGGTGGCCAGCAGCAGCACGTACTTCCGCAGGGTGTACTCCCATGGCTTGTCCGACTTGTCGCCAGCCATTATTGGCTAGGTCACTGAGCTTCAGATGCACGCTTAGCTTGTGCTTCTCTCTTCTCGCATCAAGTGGAACACTGTATCCCAGTGTGTGCTACAAAGCTAGGTAATGCTCGTCCAACTGCTTAATTTATAGAGCTACTGGCCCGTTCGGCTGACCTTAAGTTTTGGCTTGTTCGGATTCTTTTTTCAGTTGAAATAGTATTTTCTCTCACAACAATTCAGTCAGAACAGTGTTTTCGGTCAAATTTAGCCAAGCGAACGGGGCCAACTAACTCCGGTAAAAAATGTATGACGTTTGTGTGTTAGACGCCGGACTGATTCCCTGTCACACGCTAGCCAGGGCTAGATCGTTCGGGTCACCACAGACCAAAGAACGTAGCAAGGATCATACTTGCGTGGTGAAGAACGGAGAGGTTATAGAGCAAACCACCAAACAATAACCAATCGCGCTTACGTGACGAAAAACGGCTAGTTTCTAGGCAAACTAGCAAAGGAACCATCGAAGCTCTCGTCTGGGAGGAATCCCGTTGGGGCAAACAAGGACGTCACCGGGTTGCCATAGGTTGGCCAGCAAGCCTAAGGCGCCATCCTTGTCGTCAGATCAAGCGATGAACAACTTAGGGTTAGAAATGATAGGGCAAAGAGAGGGTTTGTGTTGTATTTTGACTATTGTGAGTTGGGATCCTCAATCGGCCATGATCCTCTCGTTTATATAGAGGATGTCTTATTCTAGTAGAAAACAAGTCCCAAACATAATCTCCAAGTTTCTCACGTCTAAAATAGGTCAAAAACGATTTGAAAGTCAAACCGGCTCGGAAACAGCAGAAAAGTCGGCTTAGATGACTTGGGAGTTAGCTACGCCACTTTCTACGGGCTCAGAGTGCTGTTTCTAGGCTGAAAATAGGAGAGTCGGCGTTGGCACTAGAAATTCCGGGCAAAAAGCTTTTGAAATTTATAATTAATTCATTCAGCTCCAAACAAGACGATCCATATATGTTTTTTCGATTAACTTGACGAGAGAAACACAATGGTGAAGTCTATTCTTGCATTAGAGGAAGTTGGGAAGTCGGCTAAGCCGACTCTGTTTGGTTCAGGCCCCGAAAAGTCGTTCTTTTCGCCCGAGCTCCAAATGCGATGATATAATTAAGCTTACTAGCCGTCTTGACGATAGAAATACGATGGAGGAGTTTATTATGCACTTTGGACACTTTTGAGTGTCAACAGTTTGATTTTCTTTCATGGTCTTTGAGATTGCTATTTTTACCACTATTTTACATTAGAATATATTTTTACAATCTAGTAAGTGTCTATGATTACAAAAGCATTTTCGAAGGCAAATCTACGGATGTCGTTTTTATATTTTCAAACTAAATATTGTAAAAGCCATTAACAGCTAAAGATTCAAAAGTTTAACCGGATTTTGATCAAAATATCATACTTGAAAGGAATGAGTAGCTATCAGTTCACTGGTGGCAATAAATCGACTTTAATGATGTGCTTAATCCTTTTCACCAAGACTTGACTCCGTGATTTTCCAGAATATAAGAATGTACTCACGCTTCCCATGCATCTGGATATATATTTAATGTATTATAACAGTGACAACTGACAAGCGACCTAACGGGTTAATATATAACTTGTGTGCCTAATCAGTGTGTATCAAGAATAAGAATGTAGTCACGCTTCTCATGTATCTGGATGTTTAGATAAATTATGTGCCAGATAATCCTACGTCTTGTTCACTTGGGTTTGTTTGGCTTATAAGTCGTACTTTTTCGGTCAACAAACATTATTTTTCTCTCACACCAAATTAACCAACAGTACTTTCAGTATTGTCTTATCAGCCAAACAAGTCCAAACGAACAGGGCGCTAGTATCCTAGTATTTGCAGCGGTTAACACATGTGACGATGCTATTGCGCCACCAGTACGATTAGCAGTTGCACGATATACGAATATTCATATTTCGCCTAGGATGGCTCCCTCATCCATCTCGAGTAGGTCATGTTCGCTTGAACTTATCAACCGTCTTATCAGCTAGTCTACAGTATTTTTATCTCATAATAAAACAGCTTTAACCGGCTTATATATCGGTCGAACAGAGCCGACAAAAGGTCACAATAGTTGCGTGGAGCTGCCATAGTGTGAACTCGGTAGACTCCGTTTCGGTGACTGTAGCGCACTGTCACCCCCGTAGTGTGAACTCGGTAGGCTCCGTTTCGGTGACTGTAGCGCACTGTTCACCAAACCTGAGGGGAGCCAGATTTTTCAGGTCCACCGGCTCCACCCTCCCCCACGTTGACTGTAGCGTGGAGCATTGGAGCCAGAAAACTGCTCCTGTGAACACAAAATAAGGAGATAGAAAAATCAGAATGTGAGACCATTCGGACCGTGGTGGTTACCAAACTCGCTACTCTCATATTGCTACACGTAATGTAACCACCCTACTGTGTTGGAGAGAAATAACACAGAAAATTCCTGTGCTTAGGGACAAACGAGTTGCGGATGCGCCGATGTAGCAGAGTACACAAAATAAAAGAGAAAAAAACGTTGTATCTGCAATGGCAATTGCTAGCGTTTGATTGTTGGTGTCCCAGTTTGATCTCAGTAGAAGCCCTACTTAGCATTTTTCTTCTAAAGCATACTGTCTGTCGGTACAGAAAGTGACCAATACGTAAATATTTGTAGTTTTGTCGTACGTTGTGATCGGAGGTGGCCTAACATTCAATGACATAGGGTTTATCCTGGTTCAGGCAACGTGCCCTACGTCCAGTTTGAGTCGGTCGGTAACTTTATTCCTGAACCCAGGTGCTCGAAGTTTGCAGTGGGGTTACAAACGAAAAGAAAAAAGATAGGGGCACAAGAGGTCCGGTCGGACTCTGGTCAGAGGGGCCGACAGTGACGGGAGCTCCGCTATGTGCTATGTGTTCGAGCGTGTGCTCAAGGTTTGAACCTGATGGTTCTATTGTTGTGTCCTAGTGAACTTGATCGGTCTGAATCAACTTAGTTGTGTTGGAGAGAGCGTATCCCCTTTTATAGATGAAGAGGATGGCCTTACAAGTGAGAGGGAGAGAGTACGTATACTGCTAAGTCTTGCTGCCCACGTTGGCGGGTACAAGATGATGGTAGACGCCCACAATACTGTTTATTGTCAGATACACGTGGGAGGTTGCGTCGTCTTCTTCTGGTATGGCAGCTGTCGGTGCCTGCAACACTATTGATACCCAGATGCATGTAAGGGGTTTTACCATGTTCGCCTGGTACGGTAAATGCCGGCGCCCACAACACTGTTGATGCCCAGAGGCATGTGGGGGGAGCCTTACCGTATTTGTCTGGTATGGGAGTTGATGGCGCCCACAATACTGTAGGGAAAATGTCGGCGCCTACAACACTGCTTCGGTTCTGTCATGCCAGGGAGGTCACAGGGGACTGTCCTACAGGCGTACAGGGTACGGTTCCTGATATTGCGGTTTGCCTTGTGCGTCATGCCTTACTTTCTCCGTCTGTTTCCTTGTCCTTACCGAGCGGGCGTCCCCGGTCGGTTGGCCCCAGTCAGCCCTGATTGCTCCAGTCGGAGAGGAGCTGTAGGCAGGGGTTCGGCGTCTTCCCGATCGGAGAAGCGGGTCAGAGCCGAAAGTGGGGTTTTGGCCAGGCCTTCCGGTCGGAGAGGCCGTCCAGAGGTGGGCTGGAGACCGAAGCGAGCGCTCCGGTCGGAGAGGTGGGCCAGAGTCAAAAGCGGGCGCCGTTCCTCCTTGGCTAGGTCTTCCGGTCGGAAATTGGATCGCCCTTCTGGCCTGCTGCTTAGGTACTTGGGCCGGCCCAAGAGTTGCGCGTTGGTTCGCAACATTGTCTGCTGGGCCAAGCCTTTGCTGGGAAGCCAGTACATGAGGGACCCCGGGTTTATGAACCCGACACTGCCATTTTGCATTCTTTTTGAAACAAAACAGAATTGGATTGTGACAAGATTGGGTTGTTGGTGCCCCAAATGGCTCTTAGTGGAATCACTCCTTAATTTCTTCCATGAATTCATTATGGGTCTATTTGGTTGCTACCCTTGTCAAGATTTGCCTTAACCTGAGCATACCTAGTGACGAGTATACAACTTTGGGGTCTGACCTCCACCGGGTGCGAGGTCCGTGCGCCATTGGGGGCGCTAGTACCCATTGCTGGTAAGGAAGTGAGGATTCCCGAACCACCACGCGGAGGATCTAACTGGATCGTAATCGAACCGGAGAAGAAAATCGCCCGATGACCTAGAGTTGGAAACCCTAAACTGACTTGTACTACTGGGGGTATGAGCCTACAAATATCCCCATAAACCGCCCTTTAGGGGCATGGAACTTCAATCTAGGGTTTAGCATAGCCATAAGAGCACTTCGAGCACCATTGTAATTGGCTGAGCTCTAGACTCATCAATCCAATCCACAAATAGGTTGTAGAGTATTACTCCCCTCATGGGAGACCTAAACCTATATAAAAATATCAGTGTATTCTTGCGCGTGTAGGTGATGATCCCTAGTCACATATGAAAGCATCTAGGCCCCTAGTTGGGTTTCAGTGATTAATGACAATATATGATTACTATAACTAACGTGTGTTTTACAGAGGCAATTAAGTTAGGTCATGGTAATGGCAATTGATTGGTCAATCATGGTTGTTATGCCCCTACGATGGAAATCGTTTTGGTTTTCAAAGGAGGGACGATAAGGTTAAGGATGGACTAGTTATAAGTGTCGTTTGGTGTTGAAGAGACACTTAGAGTAGTTTAGGACTTTGTTTTTCCTTTGGCCGTACAATTAAGGGGGGTATGGACTAGTAGCTTGACCTAGGTGAGTCTAGTGGGTTAGGTGTGGTGCACACTTGTCAAATCTAGCACTAGGTAGCTTCGAAGTAGCCCTAAGATCAATTGGAGCAAACTTCATTCACATATGATTTCGAGTTGGAAGTGAATGTAGGGTCAAATGTTGACCGGATGCTGATCCAGTTGTGACCGGACGCTCGCTG